TGTAGCTGCGTTTACAAGGGCATTAGTAGTAACAGAGAGTAAATCATATATAGTAAATCTTTTACCAGGGTTACTCTTCATCCAAGAATCCATTTCTTGGTAAATTAATTTTTTGAATGGACCAAACACTGATCTGTATAAAGGTTAAAGTTTGTGGGAGCAATGAGGGGGAAATGAAAACAACACAACACCATTTTTTCTACAATAATCAATTACTGGTAGATATAAATGTGATTCGTGGTTATCTAGTAGTATYGGCACCTTTTTTTCTGGTGTGGGTCTTACATAGTTGACAARATGTTGCATAACTTCTAAGAATTGGTCTCCTTGCATCCACCCTGATTTATTTGATGTGCYTATACACCCTGGTAGTCYTCCTCTAATAAAATTATCTTTATAATTCAYTYTCRGAAATATAAACATAGGWGGTATAGTATTGCCTAGAGCACTAACTGCTAAGCACATATTGTAACCAATGCTAATATTTTACCAGGATTTTGCACAGTAGTTATCCCAGTTTCATCTAAGTTATATATCTGATGTGCTTCCAACTTATATTTGACAAGAACTGAATCATATTTATCCATAAATTTTTTAACATTTACTGGGTTGAAATTCATTGCCCTAGCTAAACTTGTAGCCTCTGATTTTCTTACGGATAATGTATTGTTGCGTTTTAAAAAACTAGAAAACYAAACATCACCTGCAAATTCATGTTTGGTCCAACTAGGTGGTATTTTTAAATCTAATTTTAATGCAAATTCATAAGCAAGTTTTTTCACATCTTTGGTGTTCAAACCAAAGTACATTTCGGCACAATTTTTTAGATAATTTGTTAACATGGCCTCTTGTAAATTGTTAAATACTCGCGTGTGAGGGTGATAACAACATTCAGGTAGAGGACCACCAGAATCACGGTGAGCTTTCATTTTTTTTTATGTAACGATTTAAACTTACATGACAAATTTCAAATTGATTTGCAACTGATCTTTCAGCTTTRTTTTCGTTTATACAGATTTCTGCARCTCTCTTTAAGGCTTCACTATCAGTGCCTCTATTTGTTGTTCTTTGTCTTATTTGTGGCATGGCTATTACCTATAACAAAGAATAATGAATAATTTCTTCTTACAAAATATAAATTTAATAAACAATAATAAAATGTTACATTTGTCCCCGTTTAACTGTTACAATTGTCCCCAATCAATATTTATGTAAGAAAGTAAATATAAAAAAAAATACTTACTACGCAC